CCGCAACTCGACCTCATAGCCAGTCTTGCCTTTCCTGTCCTGGGGTGTGTGATGAGGATGCCAAGGGCATTGGTACCCTCAGGAGAATGGCAGGGAGCACTCTTCCCAAAAGTTGCCTCTCCTTGCAGCCCAGAGCCTGTTGGACTCCTGACAGACCGTCAGGAAAAAACTGTGTTTTATTCTTTGGCTAGAACTGGAGGTTCCAGCCATCAGAATGGTTCCAGCCTAATATTCTGTGAGACTTTGGTTCTGATGGTTTTGGGAGCCTTCAGCATTATGCCCACTGATTGCTGTGGAGTCTTTGCTCTCTCTGGACAGGGCATGGGTGTGTTATGGGGCTTCCTCCATTACTGCTGGGTGGGAACGCTCAGCTGTAAGGCAACAGGGGGGAACTGCTGAGAATCTGTCTTGTTTTACAAAAGTGTAACCCAAGGGCTTGTTCGGAGGCCACGCCCATTTAGAGTACAAACTGTGGGACTACTGAAGGCAAACGTCAGGTACTAACAGCCATCCCATAAAAGAGGAAGCTGAGGCTAAGGAGGGGAGGAGAAGGAAATGTTCACTCTATGCTTATTTGATACCAAGCCCTTAACTAGAGACAATTATTTAATTCTCTTATCACTCTTTACAAAGATATGACATTGTCTCTATGTAGAATAGGAACAGCAGGGTCAGTAAGTTCAGCAACTGCCCCAGGGGTCACACAGCACATGGATGTTAAGCTGGTGTCCAAACGAAGTCTCCTCTGTCCTCTCCCATAAGTCATGTAGCTTGAAATGGTGGAGCCAGGTGCCCTGAGGTGGCTTTCCTGGTCTGCTTCAGCAGTGGTCGCTTAATATGCTTGCCATCCAAAACACCTCAGAATATTTTTAAAACTACAGTATGTTGGGCACTCTCCCCAGGCGTCTGGTTCATCGGGTATGAGGCAGAGCCTGGGCTTAAGCACTTTTCAGAAGCTCTTCCAAGTGATTGTGACGGTTTGGAAAGCACAGGGCTGGAACATGTGGCTTCTCTGATGACTTCACTTCTCAGAAGTGCCGATCTGGTCCAGCCCTGCATTTGCCACAATTAACATTTGCTACTAGATCCATTATTCATGGATTCCAGGTTCAGTGCTTAACAGCTCTCCAGCATCTAGAATGTGCTGGGTGTTGTGCCAGACATTCTGGCTGCAAAGATGCATAAACCATGCTGTTGCCCTGAGGGACACTGAAGTAGTGGGGGAGATGACAGTGACAAGAAAAGTACAGTTAGTTGTAACGGAGGTCAGCTTGTGTTGCTTCGGGGGCGCAGACCCAGGCTTTGTGGCAGTGATCTCAGGCCAAGACCTTTAGGAGCCAGCAGGCAAAAGGGGTGGAAGGGATGAGAAATGGACCGGAACAGCAGGACCAGCCTGGCAGGTCCCATAGGCTCAGCACAGCAGTTTGGGGCTGCATGACAGTGGAATGGAGACACTCCAGGAAATGGGCAGAAGGCGAGCCTGGGAAAGTGAGATGGATGCAGAAAACTGTGTGTTGTGTAAAGGGATTCGACCTTCATCCTCAGACGATGAGAAGCGTGAAACTTTTTTAGGCTGTGGAATGACATGGCCTGAGCATGTTTTAGAAGGTCCCGTGACAGAGATGGGAGAATAAACTGGAGGCAGGGGAAGCCAGCAGCAGAGGAACAAATTAATCGCAGAATTATGAATTTATGTACACCAGAAAGCACCATAAACAAAATCTGAAAGCAGAGCAGCTCTTGGAAAGTGTATCTGCAGCATTTCATGATAAAAATAATATTGCTAAAAGTACAAATTGATAATAAAGATAAACATACCAATATCAAATAAATAGAAAATTCATAAGGAAATAAATACAAATGGTCCAAAAGCATATGAAAATGTTATTCACTAATAAAGAACATTAAAGTATCATGTTGAGTTAACATTGACACATATTATTTTGTTTATCAAATTAGCAAAAGATTTGATGAAGTGATAATAATATCCGGTGTGGAGGCACGGGGGGCAGGACTCGGGAGCTGCAGGTGGGACACTGTCTAGCTAGAAAGCTTTGGGGAGGTAATTGACAACATGTATACAACTTCTTAAATATAGCCCAACAATTTCCTTCTTGGATGATATCCTAAGGAAACAGTCACAGAAGTGTGCAGAAATTTAACTACAAACAAGGTCAGCTGCAACATTATTCACAATAAAGATTGGGAAAAAAATGAAATAATCACTATTGGGAATTAATTACAAAATGAGAGGCAACGCATGAAATGAAAAGGCTATTGTGGAAGTCTGAAAGACACACAGAAAATGTTCATGACATAGTAAGTAACAGAAAGAACAAGCAATTGTCCAATATGTTACTACTATTTTTTTTTTTAAAATTTTTTGGCTCGGGAATCGAACTCAGGACCTTGCACTTGACAGGCAGGTGCTTTTGCCTCTGAGCTATCTCCCCAGCCCCCATTTTTGAGTTATAGAAGAATATGTGAGCTTGAAAAATGTGTATCTGTGGAAGAAAGTACAAAAAATTAAAAGAAAATGATGTTAGCAAACATGGAGGGTAGTTACCTTATAGAGCTTTTTGTATGTTTATATCTGTGTTACATACATTCAATATGTATGTATACACATTGAAAAGTAAGTTATCAAAGAATACATACATGATTTATTTTTGTTTTCATTTAAAAATGTGGCTGGGCACAGTGGCGCATGCCTATAATCCCAGCACTTGAGAGGCTGAGGCAGGAAGACTGTCATGAACTCAGGCCAGCCCTGGCTGCGTAATGAGTTTGAGGCCAGCCAGGACTACATGGCGAGACCTTGTCTCAACCAAACCGAACCGAACCGAACCGAACCAAACCAAACCAAACCAAATCAAACCAAACCAAACAAGACAAGACAAAACAAAGTAACCAAAAAACCAAACCAAACCAAACCCCCTACTATGTACATGGGTATACATTTTTACCAAAAAGAACAATAATATATATTCAAAAGGATAAAAATGCACTGTCTTGGGTAGAAGTGTTGGATTTTGTCATTTTCTCTCCTAAATTGTCTACAGGAAACCTTCATACTTAAACAAATATATATATATATATATATATATATATATATAATTATTTTTTTTCCCTCCAAAGGATCAACCACAGAAGTCCATGGAGGTCAGATTCATTATTAGTGCTCTGTCTGTACATAGCAATCAGCAGTGATACCTCAAGAGTATGAGATAGAAATCACCATCTCTGCTTTTAAGGGACAGAGAAAATGAAGCTGGAGACGCAGTAAGAGGAACAAACTCCATTTAGCGTAACAGTTCTCTGAAGTCTCTGATGGACAGATGCATAGGGAATTCAGCCCTACCACCCTAAACATTAGCCAGGACACCGCGACTTGGGCGGAGCATTTAAGCCAGGGTCGCAGTGACTATAATACTACATTAAGCACGTGTGGCCAGACAGGCTGATGCACAGGTAGCCTCGTTCCGGGAGGCTGTGAGAGGCTGTCCTGACCTAGTTCTCTGCATTCTAGGCTTTCTCCTTGGGATGGCGACAGTCCAGATCTGTCTCAACACACCCATTTAGTCAAGTTTTCTCTTCTGTGCTGATACCTGTGATCTAAGCAACTGCACTGAAGACAGCAGTGTGTATGTTAGGGTCATGCTTGGAATGCCTGTCATTCTGGTCTTCTAAATACATACTGCTTGCCATGACATACCAATTACTGCTATACTGTCTCTCAAGTAAATGCTTTTTTTTTTAAAAAAGGAGTAATAAATGAAAGCAAGAGAGAAGAAAAAAAAAAGCCACAGGGCTGTCCTGCTACAATGCTGTACATGGTTAGATTTCTAAATTTTTGTAAAAAATTACACAGAAATGTAACTGTTTATTCCTATTTTAATTTTTTTTTATTTTTTAAATTTCTTTTCTTCTGCCTCCATATTTGCACTAATCATTTAGAATTGTTCTTGATGCACGAGGAACAGAGGAAAACCCTGCCATTTTGAGAGGGTTTGCAAGCCACCTCTGACCTCCTTTGCATTCTTCAGATGCTAACAAAGTTTTACAACTCAGGAACTTTTCTAGTCTGGAGGCGAGGGAGTTTTGCATATATGCCTATGCTAGGCCTCAGAGTAGTTTTGGACTGGGATTATGGGGCGCCATTATGGAGGAAGAAAATGGGCAGAAACACATGGTAGAGGTAGGGGAATAGAAGCAGGGAATGTGGCAATTGGAGCAGCAGCAGCATTTTCCTCTTCTGCAGAGTAAGAGCTATACGTAGGCAACTGGGGACTTCTGGACATTTCTAGCACCTTCTGGCAGCCTTGTTGAAACTCTTGGGAAGCTATGTGAATAGGACCCATGATGCCAGACTGTCAACCCACTGGCAGTGATCGGATCTTGTGGCAGCGGAGCTACTGCTTAAACAGATATCCCCTGACTGGCTTTGTGTTTCCTTTTGGTCCGTAGCTATAACTGTTACTCTTTCCCAGTGCTGGGGGTGGAGTGGGGGAGAAACAGTAGGTGCGTTGTTCAGATGCATGCTGACCTCATCAGCAAATAGAATGCACAAAACACAGAAACCCCTGCTGGGTCTTGGGCCTTCTCCTGGCCTGCCACCGTTCTGGCCACTAGGGTTTCTGATCTCTGGTCTTTTTCTGCCTTGGGTAAATGTCAAGAGAAGACCTGTGCACCATCTTTGACATAGTGAATCAATTTCAGTCCAGTGCGTGTGGTCCTGACTGCAAACAATCAAAACCACCCAACATAGTACATACAGGAAGGCAACAAATTATGGGATAGTCACTGGCAAGAGCTCTACAGTAAGACTTAGCTGGTTCAGATCCTCACTGGGCCTCGAACCTTGGGATAGATCATTTTTCTGCTTTCCAGTTTTCTTATCCATCATCTCATGGAGACAAAACCTCACAGAGTAAGTGCGTGAAAAAAAAATGAGATTGTCCATGTAAATATCTGAAGATAGTGCATTTAATAAATCCTAACTATTAACATTATTGCATCTGTATATATTTTGATTTTATACATTGTCTCACTCATCACACAAAAAATACATGAAAGTGCTTTGAAAATGTTTAAGCATCATATGGGTTCAAGATGTCATTGGTAATAATCTCATATGCATTTCCATCTCCCGGGAGACCAGGAGGCCATCCTGTGTCCCACAGAGTAACGCTGCACTCGGGTGGGCAGACAGTGAGCCCTCTGGAATGGTCTCTTCTTGATGAAACAACACAGCATAGCATGAGAGCATAGGTATCTGGAGACTAGGCTGGGAGAAAATTAGTGTAAGGCAGGAGAGTCAGTCTGCAGTCATGATTTATTCATTCAACAAATCTTTGCTGAACACATTCTGTGTGCTAGATATTGAGTTCAGCTAAGTTCATCAGAAAGAGGCTGCACGAGTTCCCACCAAGGCAAGGCCCAGGGCTGTGTCCACACTTCCAGCCCACACCTGAAAGCACGAAGGCTACAGCCAGCGTTGTATACAGCACCGGACAAATGGCCAGTTGCTGCGGGGGAAGACCCATGCGCCTGGCTGTAAGCAGCTCTGACCACAGTGGTGGGCAGAAGTCAAAGGGAAGGAGTGGGCTGCTTTCAGCAGAAATGGCAGAACTGCCCACGAGTTGATTTTTATTTACACATATTTAGTCCCTCACCCAAGACCCCAGCTTATACATGCCCTGTCCCCTGGGTGGCACTGCCTGCAGGTCTGCTCACCTGGACTTTGACCCACTTTGTCCCGCCCTTCTGTTGTCACAGCTGCCTCCTGGCTGGGAGGTGCAGGAGTTGGTATGTGTGGTCACCAAAGGGCACAGAGAATGGGCGGTGATGGCATGTGAGTCCTGGCAGAGATTGGATCTCCGAGAGGGAGAGAAGAAAGCACAAGCCAAGACAACAAGGGAGGGAGGGTGGCAGGGACCAAGGGCCCAGAGGGAGTAATGGTGTGCCAGGGTGTAGATTCCGGCTCTGCACTGGCCTAACCAGCACTTCTGGTGTCTGCGTCATCCCCAGCTTTGTTATAACTGCCCGGAGATGTTGCGGGTCATCAGAAAGGAATGGAAGGGTCCAGACTACAGGTGCCATCCCTGCCCTCTTGGGGTGGCATACCTGCCAGGCTCTGCCTCTGACAAAGCTCTGGCCAAAGTCAAAGCCACAGTGGCACCCCCAGCCCATGCAGCTCCCTGTCAGCTGTGGCGCAGAAGTTGGGTCCTTTCCATCACTGACCTGCTAGAGAACAGGAGGGCTCCCGTCTGGGTGCCTCACAGATTCCAAATGTGCTTTTTAGTTTTCACATTAGGAGTAGACAAATAGTGGGGGGTGGGGAGAAGGGGACTTGGAAGAAGTGGGGGAAGGGACCGAGCAGGGCAGGCTGTCCACCAGAGGGGCCTGGGAGGCTCTGGTTGGGCTGAGTACAGCTCTGGAGAGCCTTCCAGTTACATGGCTTCCTTCTCTCTCTGGGAGCATCTGCTCAGCTTCATCTCTGTCAGCTGGATATACCGGATCACATTGGTGTCTGTGAAGAGAGAAACAGGCCTTAGGGACACCAGCACAGGCAACAAGCACACCCTTCCAGAATGGGGCCATTCTGGGTCTGTGGCTTGGGCACAGACAGACCAACACCACCTCAGTGCTTCAGGGATGGCCTAGAGAGCAGCTGGACGGTGGGCTACTCCTCCATCCCCCCAGTGAATGTGGACAAGCCACCGTGACCCAAGGGACAGATGAAGGGCCCCAGAGCTTCCCAATTCCACCCAGTTGGCTGAGACTCTGGTTGGAAATTAGCCTCAGGCAAGACGCCAATGCTCCAACCCTCAGGTCTCACCTGGACTGCACAGCCTTCACTTTTGAATGCCTACTCTGTGCCAGCTCGCAGCCTCCGCTATCGCTTGCAATCTGCCCTCACTCCTGCAAGTCACGCACCTTGGCCTCACTGTGACCAAAGGGAAAGGGAGTCCTGAAGAGACTCAACAAGAAACACAGAAAAACACAGGAAGTGGTGCGCCTCATGCCGCAGCCTGTGTCTCCTGGGAGTATAATACCTGCCTCATAAAGCTGCTGTGAGACCAAAATAGAGAAGCCTAAGGGCTGGGTACAATGATCAATAAAAATTAGGTGAATATGTTTCTTTACGTGAGCAGTTGTAAATGTCATTGCTTCGATGTCCTATTTTTGTCTTCATAAGTAGGGTCCACCATTTTCACACAAATGGGGCACCTCTCCCCAGTTCTGGTCCTTAAGCTAGCAGGACATGCCACGCGCAGGACGCAAGCAGACACGCCATGGAATACTGCCTCCCTCTGCACGCCCAAGGGTGGCAGCACTGCCGGGTGAGCTGGTACAGTCATTCTACTTCCAGGAGCAGAAATTAACACCGGATTATGCTCGAAGCATCACACAGCATTCAGGACAGTACGAGAGCTAGGTGCTCAGGAAGACGGCTGAGGAGGCCAGTTCTTACTCCTCACTGCTTACCAGGCAACTGATGGGACGCAATTTACATATCAGGAAAAAAATAACACATAATAATAAAGAGGTATTCTTTTAAAAGGCTGAGAGAAAAAACTGCACATTTGGCGGTTTGCAAATTGATCCTAAAGTTCTTAAAAACACCACAGAAGGAGGATTACATTAAAAAAAGTGAAGCAGCTGGTTGTGGCACCTCTAATCCCATCACTTTGGGCACTTGAGGCAAGAAGACCACAAGTTTGAGCCCAGCCTGGGCCCCTTAGTAAGAATTTGTTTCAAAATATAAAAACATAGTAAGAGCTGGGATGTAGCTCAGTGCAACAGTCCCGGGTGTAATCCCTAATGCCACAGAAACAAGCAAGCAAACAAATCAACCAGCTCAACAACAACCATGACAACATCAAGCCCAAGCCATCGTGTGAAAGTCTCCTCCCTGGAGAAGCTCTTTCCGACTACCTCGTCTAGAGCTGGACTCCTTTTCCTGTACTTTACAATCCTAAATAAAAAACACCCCATCTCTCCGTCCAGTTGGACGCTGTCTGTTTTCCTCCCTTTTAATGGTGCTTGCTTGAAGGTGGCAACTTTCTTTGTTCATCATGTGTACCCACTACCAAAAACAGGCCCTGGCCCACCAGGCCCCTCAATACATATCTGTGGGGTGCACGGACAACTGAATGGTCGGGTGAGACAAGGCACACGAGCGAGATGAATGGTGTAGTGACCCAGCTCTGAGACACGGGATCGGAGTGGAGCAGTCAGAGCACGGGTCCCGAAGGGTGCTGGCTTTGCCTCAAAACTGCCTGGATCCTGTCTCGGCAACCAGATGTGGCCTTATCACGGGCAGGTATTGTGTCTTGTTAGCTATGACCCTGGTGCCTGGCACAAATGGTGACCAATCGTAAGACTTCTGTATGTGTTTACTGACTAAGGTGGAACAGGCCAAACATTCTACTGTGTGCATGCAGAGAAGAGGTGCCCATGCTCCTTGGAACCCAGACCCAGATAATGGCTGGGGCAGTAGGTCTCCTCACCTGGGGCCTCCCTAGCTCTGCATCTCTGCCCCTCCCCAGCCCTGCCAGCCACAGACGCTCTTGGCTGCAATGAGAAGGTCCAGGAGCTGCCGGGGCACTGTCGGTAAGGAAGCAGCAACGGCGGCCTTACCTGTTGGTTGTCGGGTCCTTGCTTCTTTCAGGTAGTACAGTGCTTTGTCGTAGTCCCCAAGGTGGTAGAAGGCCACACCAGACCGATAAAGGGCCTTGAAGTTCTCCCCTTCCTTTTTTAGGACTTTGAGGCAGTACTCCTTGACTCGCTCATAGTTCACTAGCTCGGCTTGGAGCAGGCAGGCTGCGGATGATGGGAGAAGGTGGGGAGAAGGTCACCAGTGCAAAGGTAGCACGTCCCAAATGTCCCTCTCTAGCTCCTTCTTCTTCCTTCCAGAGCAAGCTTGGCAATGCTGGGGCTTTTCCTTGGAGTTTGTGACAAGGAAGGCGCCACCTAACAATCCTGGCTTCAGGACCAGTTTTATTCCTAACACACTATGTGGCCTTGCGCAAGACACTTAGTTGTGTGTTATGGGCCAAATTATGTATCCCGGGGCTGGGGACATGGTTCAGGGGCCTAAGTGCCTGCCTGGCAAGCTCAAGGCTGCAAGTTCGATTCCTGGTACTAAAAATGAAACAAAACAGAACAAAAAACAAGTTATATATCCCCCAAAATGACACAGAAGTCCTCTTCACCCCTAGTAACCCTGAATGTGACCGATTTGGACTAGACATAACAACAACCATGGCTAATAATTGTTGAATACTCACCTGGTGTAAAGCGCTTTTCTCATCACTTGACACACCTACCCTGAGGCAATCCTCAGAATAGTGTCACACAGGCACTACCATTACTCCCATTTCTTAGGTAAGGAAACTGAGGCTCAGAGAGCTGAAGAAATTTCCCAGTAGTGCATGATGGGAAAGAGCCAAGGATGAGACTTAAACCAAAACAAACATCCCAAAGATGGCTGCTTCCAACAAGACGCGGCTTAGTGCGGAGAACGCCTTTGTGCTGATTGGAAGCATGTCCAGGACGAAGGTGTGTTACCCACTTTAATCTTCGGGGGTCAAAGTTCTGTGGTTTGGATCCCTTAAATTGCTTCCCGGGCATCAGAATGGCTGAGCTTCTTTTTAAGACACTGAACCTTCCACTGAACATTTTGAACAAACTCTTTTGCAGACGAAGGAGGCGGTGAACGACGCGGATTTTCAAGTTGAAGGAATGAGAACGAGGGAGTGGAAGCAAAGCCGCTTGGATCTAGGAGACAGCCTACAGGGCCTCGCTGGTTGCAGGGCAAAGCCCAGCCAGTCAGCAGGACGGCGCTTGCTCTCCGCCAGGGTCACCGATGCTCCCCAGGAGCTACGCTCTGCTGCTGCACTGGGGCTCCCTCCTGGAAGCAGCTCAAAGCCGCACTGCCCCTCCCGAGTCCACACCTTTGGGCGCTCTGCAGGCAGAGAAGGGCTCTGTGCAAAGGTTCCCGGATATGCACAGCACTGACTGCTGGTGGCTCTTAGTACGCGCTGCAGAGCTGAAGGGCTCCTGCAGGGAGCTCCCCAGAGCTGGGTCCCCCCACAGGCCCTGCTGCTCCCTCTGGTCCAGCCCTCCATCTTCCCACATGTACTGCTGTTTGCTGACCTGGGCAGTCTAGGAAACAAACTTTGCTTCTTTAAAAAATAGTTTGCGAATGTCTAAAATAGCAAGGGAGGGAAGCAGTGAGGCTGTAGGTGGGAGAGCTCTCTTCCTCCCGGCTCCCTAAGTACGTAAGGAAACGTGCTCAATGTGCTTCTCACTCCCTGCAGGGCTTTCGTGGAACCTGGGATGCCTGCGACCAGGGTTCCAACATGGTGGAGGCTGCTTACAGGGTGGAGGACCAGGGAGACCAACACACAGGCTGCTGCCTGGGCAAAGCTGGCCCTGCAGGTGGGCTGAAAGGGGCAAAAGCCAGGAAGGCTTCCTCTGTCAGAAGAGGTTGCCACGACCCACCCACACGTGGTCTTGCAGCCTCGCTCTCTGCTTGGGCGCAGTGCTATGGTACCCATAGCAAGCCCACGGGCAGGGAAAGGGACACCTGGAGCCGCATCTGAGAGCTGAAGGACTTCTAAGAAGGGTTGCGCACAGTTCCTTCCGTCCCTGCAGCCACTGCCCAGGGCGTGGGGTTTGTGGTGGGCCCTTAGCACACGTGCACTGCCCGGGCGTGCTCTCTTCCACCATTAATTCCGTACCCAGGCTCAGGACTGGCGCTCCATACTTTACATGCAGGTGGGTTGAAAGGGGCAGAAGCCAGGAAGGCTTCCTCTGCGTCTTTTAATCTTCACAACTCCATGAAGCATATTTGATTTCTAAACTTCTTTCACAGATGGTGCAAGGGGGTTCCAGAGAAACTAAGTGACTCATTGAAGGCTACCCAGGTCGAAGGTGATGGAATGAGGGTCAGCCCATTTGTGTCAGGCTCCTAAGATGACCTTTGCCCATTGGGGTGTCCGTGGCTTGTGCCTGAGGCTCATGGAAGTCCTCAGAACCCCTGGAAAGAAACACAGGTCATCTTCGAGACCGCTGCCCTCCACATTGTGAGGCAAGTGGTAGAATATGACACCTGATTGCCCTGGCTGCCCAGTAGAGTGGAATGGCGGGTGGGGTAGACCAGACTCTGCTCTGTCCTCGGGTCCCAGTGCTCCAAGCCCTCCAGTACTCACAAGTGGGTGGGTGCTGTGAAGGACAAAAACAAAAAGGCAGCAGGCAGGACGGACGTGCCACCTGATGAAGCACCGAGGGAAGCCTTCTTGGAAGAAGTGGTGTTTAGACTGAGACTAAAGACTGAGTGCTTTTCAACCTCTGCATGATTTCAGGCTACTTGACTTTCTGTTATGGGAGAATATCTTGCGCATCGCGGGACAATAGCAATGTCCTTGGTCTCTTCTCACTAAATGCCAGTTGCAACAACCAAAGGGGGAAAAGAAATTACTCTGAACATTGCTAAGTGTGCCCCAGGGAGGTAAAATCACTTGTTGAAGAACCACTGGTCTAGGTAAATGGAGGTGTTTTCTGGATGGAGAAGACAGAAAGAGTAAGAGTGAGAACTGGAGAGGTTGAGCCTTGCCTACTGGAGAAGCCATCCAGGATGCACAGAGTCCCAGGAGGTGGGTAAGAACACAAAGCTGGAAGGGCAAGCGATCCAGACACCCCGTCCCTCCAGTCCACGCTGAGGGTCTGGGGCGCTAGTCTGAGGCAGGGCTGGATCCAAAAGATGGAATGATGGCAGCTGGGCTGCAGGAGCACAAGCAGGAGAAATGAATAGTCTCAAGTGGCACTCTGGAGTTCGCAGTGACCAGCATTAGGGAGCCACTGGCATGCTTTCCTAGTGCTCTTCACACGCGTGAAGTCAGAGTCTTTATCCAGATCTTGCTTGCGATTAGGAATTTACTGAGGATGGAGAAAGATCTCTCCACATTGGTGCGACCCGGGCTCTCACTGGATGAAGCTTTATCATAGACAGCCTCTCTGCTCCGTGATACGGCACGCATCACCTTTTCAGACTATTTTTGTGGGACTGAGGATTGAGCCCTGGGGAACTTCACCCCTGGGCCTCATCCTCAGCCCTTTGTGTCTGTTTTTTGGTTTTTTTTAATTGTCTGTTTCGAGACAGGGGCTTTCTAAACTGCCTGGGGTTGTCTTGGATTTGTCACTCTCTTGCCTCAGCTCTCTGGGTATCTGGGATTACAGATGCACACCCTTATTATACATGCACGAAACTCTAAAATATATACTACTTAATGGAAGAAAACTTGTTTCATGATTCTTTAAAAGCAATTCTGTCCTCATGAAGGTGAGGTATTTTCTGTTGGGCGTGACAGCAAGAACTAGGAAGGTCAGGAGAGCTGCTATAAGATAAATTGTCTTCTGCTATATGGATTAAAAAATGCATTTGGTTATTATAGGGTCTGTTATGGTTTGTGTCTAGTTGTCTCCCCAAAGCCTCATGTAGGGCTGGGGAGATGGCTCAGTAGATTAAGTGCTTCCCTGGCAAGCACAAGGGCCTGAGTTCAATCCCCAGTTCCGAAAAAAAAAAAAAAAAAAAAAAAAAAAAAAAAAGCCTCATGTAAGTTATGGGCAGACACGGCTGCAGGAGCAATGAGCGGCTTGGGGAGGGGGGCGGCCAGAGAGGTGCTTTCTGAGGGGTGTGGAAAGGGTCATCCTGGACACAGCAGCGTTCCAGCCTCTCCTCCAGTGTCTTGAAACCTCCAGTAACATGAGCTAAATAAACCTTTCCTCCCCTCATTTTGAGTGTTGGGTATTTGTCCCAGCAATGAGAGAAGAGTAACTAAGACAGGGTCTCACTATGCAGCTCAGACTCATAGTGATCCTCCTGTTTTCAGCCTCCCCAGCATTGGGATTATAGGCGTGCACCACCACACCAGGACTCTGTGGGTGGCTCAGCCAGCCCTGAGTTTGGGGTGGCACGGCATGTGGTGCTGGGGATCGAACCGCAGTCCCTGTGCTTGCCTAAGCTTACCCAAGCAGGCGCTTTAGTTCACTGAGCTATCTTGCCAGTCCCTATGTGGACTTTTGATTGGTTTAGGTGCTGGCTGATGTGGTCTTCCATGGAAAGGCTCTAGGCAAGGCCTTGCTTGACAGCAGGCTGGGTTTGGGGAAAGCAGGTCTTAGACTGATTAGAGACAGCGCTTGTTGCCAGGAACACGAGTGTGAACTTGGCCTGGACCCAGAAGGCAGGAGCGCACTCCAAGGCAGAAGAGGTGCAGGGCGGGAGATGGGGCTGCAGAGGACACGTGGTGGGGACCCAGGCTCCCAGACAACCGTATTAAGGGAATATTAATGTTCTGGTCTCTGGGGCTTCAAAAAGCCTGAAAAAATTCTGTGGCCTGGAGTCAGCCAAGCTGCAGAGAGTGAAGGCCAGTTCTGTGTATTCTTGGAAAGGACAGAGGCTTTCACGAGCCCAAGGTGACAGTAGCAGTGGTAGCCGGAGCAACTTACAAGGTCGAGGTGAATTTGGAGGACAAGTGCTGTGACTGTGAATGCTGAGGCATCAGTCCCCTGTGGAGATTCCTCCTTCACTGCCAGCTGGGGTGGTTGGGGACGATTATGTGAAAAGAGCTCGTGGCTTTCTTGGCTCCCAAAGGCACTGACGGTCATAAAAACTTAGGGCACCAGGGATGGAAAGAGCCCGCGGCGCACACACACGGACAGAGAAAGGGGTGAGCTGAACGCCCTCCAGAGTGACCACGCTCAATCCTTAGCTGCACAGTCGGGTTCTCCCCACTCTGGCACCCATTTTGGTTTTGTTG